CATCAACGAAATCATCGTCCGCAAGATCTGATATCAGTACGCGCACAGACAACGTGGAAACAGCGTCAGCGAAGAGTAGCGTAATATATCCATGCAACAGTGACAATTCCCTGTGAATCCAAAAATCTGAGAATCCAATATTTTCGAGGAGATGGGGAGCGAGGTTTGGATTTTGGGATTCCCCAGCATCTGCTGCACATCTAGTGGAAGCTCGCGACGCGACATGGCACTAACGGCACCAACGTTTTTACGTTGACCTGTGACCACAAAGAGCTGAAACGATCACATGCCGTTCAATAGACGTGTATCCACAATATAAACACCAGACAGAAGAAGCAAACCAAAAGCTAAGGCACACGAAATAATCAAGCCAAAAGAAGCACAAACCGAAGCCAAAATGACTCAAAAAACCAAAGCCAAAAGAACCAAAAAAACCAAAACCAAAAGAACCAAAAAAACCAAAACCAAAAACACCAAAGAAACCAAAAAAACCATTCTCCAGGAATTTTCGTCACAAGACTGTCTTGGAAATGTTTTTTTTGTTTTTTTTGGTTCTTTTGGTTTTGGTTCTTTTGGTTCTTTTGGTTTGTTTTTTTTGGTTCTTTTGGTTTTGTTTTTTTTGGTTCGTTTGGTTTTGGTTTTCTCTAAACCTCAACCCTGAACTCTGAACCCTTCACCCTCACCCATGGAACACGTCCCTATGCACGTCCGACTCGATGTCGCGTACTTGGTAATATGCGTAAAGTGCTAAAACGCAGGGGCCAGGTTCACCCCTCGAGCCCGTAATTGTCATTGCTACTGTTCTTTGTGGTGATTAGTACTACTACCCCCATTGCTGTTGTTATGCTTCATATTGTTGTTATTGTAACTGTTACTACTGCCATCACTAGCATTTGATATAACTATAATCTTCACTATCTGCCCTGGCTACCTCTCATCTGCAGTTCCCAGGTCGTCGCAGAAGGAAGCCTCGGACCCGGTGATGAAGATGAGGCCAACCCAGCACCCAAGCAGCGGAAGTCAGATTCATGTCTGCGTTCCCAATTCGGCTATATCCGAAAGACCAGAGCATCCGGAGGCTTCGGATCCCTGAGTTCTTGAGATCTGTACTTCCTCAAAGCCCTCGGAAGCGAGAAGCTTCTGATCCGAATCCCAGCTGAGACCCCAGGTCACTTCTCGCCGAAGTCACAGTGCTCCCGTGCCAGGAACCTCGTGAGGGAGATGGTCGTGCCTCGGAGGAGAAGGGAAGTGGCTGGAGCGCGCCGGCCATTCAAAACATGTCTGCCGACGGATGCTCTTGTTCGGCTTGGGGAGGTAGCTGGCCGAAGCGACATGAAGCAACCATTCAGGACCGTGGGTTCTGCTTTGAGTAGAGGAGTGTCGAATGTCCAGCCTCGCCGTCATTCGATCCCGGAACTAACCCTTGGGCAGCAGCTCCCAAACCTTGCCACAATGTCGAGTCGAGTTAGTATGTCAGCTAGCTGCCGCAAGAGATATCCACAAACATAAGCCGAGCTAACCGTGGGCTGCCAGAGCCCTGCAGACCCAAGCCGCTCCTGAATCTGTGACGTGAAGTCAAGAGGGTAGCCATTTTCATAGGAGCACTGTCATTGAGAACGCCATGCCACGTGAATTCAAGCGTTCTACGGGTCTTACCGGTGGGAGGAGGACCCGCCTAGAAGAATCCGTTCTTCGAGCGTCAATAAGTCCTTGCTTACGTGCATCATTATCAATATCACAACCATATTATATATATATATATATATGTATGTATGTATGTATGTATGTATGTATGTATGTATGTATGTATGTATGTACACATACATATGGCGTGTCTTGACCCTTGGATGTCTCAGATCAAGTACCTTCACACCGTCCCAACGCAGAAGCTTCTGCCTGGAGTACTTGACACGATTTTTTAAAATGGATTCCTTTCATCTAATTAGGCAAGGATGCCAAGAGGGTGCTCCGATCTGTTAACCCGCAAAGCTGCCCTAGATTCCCAAGATCCCCAGCGACACATCCGAAGTGAACCTGCCACTCGATTTTGAGAGATCTTTGCTGCAGCGGCTCGGAGACACTGGCCTCCCTGCGTCTGCGCTCGCCATGGAGCCAGCTCCTCAGGGCTTCTTCGAACTGTCTCAGCGCTGTCTCAAGAATGTTAGGAGCATTATTCCTTCTGCTTGTTCTACTTTCATGACAACGTAACTACTACCGGACTGCTGCTACTATGGCGACAACGACTACAACAACAACTGCTACTCCTGAACTACTCCATAAGGCCCCCTGAACTGAAGCCTCATTCATGAAGCCGAGCCCAGGCCACAGTCGGCCCGTGAGCCGCGAGACACCTTCCGGAACACGGGCAGTCAAAGTCAAGGCCTCGCAGACTCTGAGCCCCAACCTCCCGAAGCCCCAGGCTGCACATTGTACCCGGTCGTCCTGTCGGTTTAGGGTGTAGGGTTCGGGGTTGAGGGTTCGGGGTTGAGGCGTTTGGGTTTGAAAAACTAGGGAGCACATCCATGCACCGAAAATCCAAACTCCTGCCCACCTGTGTTTGCAATGCAAACGCACCCACAGCCCGAGGACGGCTGTAGAGGGAAGCACCGAGACAGAAGCAAAACTCGGTAGTAGTAGTTGCGCCCGCGGCGGCCAAAAATACTGAAATGGTGATGGCAACAGCTGTGACATTGACAGTTAATCGACAGTAGCTTTCATCAAATACTTGTGATGCTCATGGCACTCTCAAGAAGCAATGATGCTGCTGTGGCTGTGGCCAGTGCTGCTTTGTTGTTGTTGTTGTTGTTGTTGTTGTTGCTGTGGCAAAACTAATCTCATTGTAACTGACTGACAATGACGACTATCAAATTCACAGTGTTGGAGCTGGTGATGAGGATGATGAGGATGATGATGATGATGATCATGATGATGATGATGATGTTGGAGATCTGGGTAATAGTGATGGTGTTGGCAGTGCAGCACCGTAGCGACGAACCTCAAGTCATTTGCTTTGACATTCCCTCAGACTGAGTGTTCGACTGATGGATTGATTTGTTCCTTCATTCTGTGATTATGTACTTTCTCATTCATATAATATAGGCAGCCTTCTTCAGCAACGAGATCCTCTGTGTCCCTGGCGCAGTTGGATCCGTTCTGGCTTTGGGCGGCAATGCGAAGCCCTCCAATCTACTGTGGCTTGGCTTCTGACAGGAAACGGATCCACTAGCTGTAGATTCGGCAACGTCGCTGCCACAGAATCTCGGGCTGGAGCATGTGTATATCACGTTGTAAGCCCTAAGCCCCCAAGCCCTGAACCCTCAACCCCTAAACCTTAAACCCCCAAACCCTAAACCCGACAGCACATCTTGCAGCCTTGAGCTTGGACTGGTGGCTGTGCTCCCCCAGGCTTGTGAGAGACGACGCCCGGTCCTCAGAGCAGGATACGATCCCGCTTACGGCTGCAACCCTTGAACCCCTAAATCCTGAAACCTAAACCCTAGCCCTTCAACCCGTAAACCCCTAAACCCTAAACCCTGAAACCCCTAAACCCCTAAACCCCTAAACCCCTGAAGCCCTGAAGCCCTCGACCCTAAACCCGAAGCTCTCCAGCGCCCGGCACGCGGGCTCAGGTCGGGAGGCGGGGGCCTCAGAGGCTCAGAGGCGCGCTTCTTGTGAGGTCTTTCGGGTTTCTAGAACTTCAGCTCCCCTAAACCCTCAACCCGAAA